TTAGAACTGAAGAAGCTTCTCGGATGAGAGGTGAAACGTCTTCAAGCAACTTAAAGAAGTCCAGACGCTTTTCTTTGCAAGCTCCTTTGACTAATCCCTTACTTTACTCATTATTTGAAAAAGTAATCAGATTACAGTAACGCGTTACTGCCCATCTCTGGTCTTAAGTGCTTGAGTTGAAGGGAGCTGCATTTTTTAAGCTTCTCCAAGCAGGCTCACCTCTCATCTAAAAAGTCTCTCCAGTTCTAAAAGCCCACAGTCACATTGATAATCATTGACCCACCCTGTCACTCACATTTAAGTCCACCAGCTCTAAGGCACTCTCGAGAGGCGTTTCAACCCACACTCATGTAACCTAAAGGACTCCAATTAGAGGTGAAACATCTTAAAGGCGTGCGCAATTAATTTTCCTAAGGGGCCACATGAGAAACTGGGACTGTTGTGGAGGGCCACCCACATCACTCGTGGTCCTTCAAATGCCATGAGTCTATTTTCAAGCGTGTGAAGACAACAAACATGTTTTAACTGATATTAGATGTGACTTGTGATAATCGATTAGTTACAGTTGAAAGTCAAATGAAAGTAGGGTCTTTTTACAAAACCATGTGAAAAATCCTGTTTAACCACAAGATCAGAGACTTCTGCAATAAAATAAGTGACAGCAGAGGTTGGTTTTACTCAAAATTTCTAAATCAGATTAAATCTTCAGTCTTCAATTCCAGCTTCTGTTTTTTGAGTTTTACATCTTACTGACACAATTTTGTAAATAGAAAAGTAGAAATAAGAAGAACGGTGCAGAAAATAGCAAACAGAAAAATAGAATGACACCTGTTCTATGTTGAATCACCTAACCCACAACCACAAATTCTAATTAGGCACAGTCAAAGGCTTTAATCTGTTTACAAAACATGCAAACATCTCAAAAAAGCACATTTTCAGGATATTTATACATAAAGGTTAATCTTCACAAGAAAAAAAAGCTGCATGATATAGTGTTGACAGACCCTGGAACTGACAAATTTTCACATTTCCCCATTTTAGTGAAACTAACATTAAAAGCTGCTCATACATGACTTCATGCTACACCAGTCCAGTGATAGGTTCTACTTTACACCTCAGAAGAAAAAAAACCCCAATACACCGATTTCATCAGTGACGAATGAATCGTGTTGACATTGAAATGGAATTTAACTAAATCGAGTGTTCTCTTTTACATGCAACAAGAAAAAGTAGCACTTCAGCCTGCAGAAACACTGAAATATCATCTGACCATCTTGTAGTCAGACTCGTCACACCCGTACAGAAAGCTAAATGTGATAAAGAATCTGAGTGATTCACGTGACAATATTAAACAGTAAATCTCAGCAACAAACGTGTAAGGTGTAACAAATCTCCACATCAACAGACAGGACAGTTTATGTACAATATAAATAATGCATCTATGAAACCCTATCAGTCATCATTCCTTTTCCAATATGATATTCAGCATTTGTGTGATGCAGTTATTGGGTAACATTTGAAACTGCTGCCATTTTTGGTTCAGTCCGTGTATACATTTAGTGCACAGGTTTACCAAAAGAAAAAAAAAGTAGCCAGTGTACAAACTATGTGTAAGGTCCTTCGTCATCATTACAGTGAGCCTCAAGTGACTATGATAGCTTAAATCTCTGGAATCTCAAATATAAACTGAGATCAAAATGATGATTGTCAGTAGATCAAGAGCTACAGTATGTAGCTCTAAATCACACAGTCTATCGCACATGTTTATCAATGCAGGTGAAACAGTTTGAACATTTTTCTACCTGGAAAAAATGGGAATTATTTGAGAACGGGAAATGTGATACATATACAGATGACAGAGACATAAAGAATTTACAAAAATCATAATTAGTTAAGAATTTTGTTTTTAACAAATATGAAATGCAGGTGTTTTATTAATATTAACAGTGCTCTCTGTTTACAAAGATCCATACAATCATCCTGCCTTCCTTCTCAACATAATTTCTCTGCCTTCTCAAATTTTTACTAAGTCAATCCTTCATGTTGATAAAATATATATGTTTTAATAAAACAGGGTTCCCTTTAACATGCCTCCCCTTTCAAAAGCTGTTTCGGATATTTTAGCTATCTGTTGAACCACTGCCCTTATTCTTATTGCGGCTGAGAGGGAAAGTGGACTTGCTCTGTGGCTGGGTCATTTTGCTGGCGAGGTAGACAAAGGGCTCAATGAGTGTACGTCGGTCCACTACAGACACCTCCCACAGACGCACCTTCTCATTCTTCGCCCAATTCTGGGCCACGTTCAAGTCAACTCTCCTCTCTTCCTGCTTGTCCAGTTTATTACCCAGCACAACAATGGTTACCTATAGATCAGATTATCAAGTTAGTTCCACATTAGTCACTCTACAACTCTTCACATTGTGCTTCATGACAGCTGCTGTGGCTTCAGATACAGCAGATTGTCTGGTGAGAATTAAATATGACTGGGAGGAAACAATATTCAAATAAATAATTTAGAAATATCATCCCAGGACATAGGGCAGATGAATCAATATCTGGCATCTCTGGCTTGCTTGCTTCTTTAATATCCCAGAGACCTGTATCAGGCCCAAAAAGCTCTCAAACTGCTGTGTCATGAATTTACAAAGACTTGGCATCCCTCTTTAAGTGCACATTAATGAAACATGACCCCCAAAGCAAGGCTGCATACTGGTGCAGAATATTCTGAAGCTTTATGTATTCTATATTGTACTGTTTTTATCCATCCTTTTTCTTTCCCTTATCCAATTTAGGGGACAGCCTGGACAGGCCCTCAGTTTAACGCAAGGCAAATAGAGAGATAAACAACCAGTCACACTCACATTTACACATAATGGCAATTTAGAATCACCAATTAACCTAACTCGTGCATGTCTTTGGACTGTGGGAAACTAGACAACCCAGAAAGAACCCAAGCAAAGATGGGCACACAGAAAGGCTGGTGGATTAAAACCTAAGACCTCCTTACTGTGAAGCAACCGTGCTAATCACTACACCACCTATACTAAACCTTTTTTATGTATATCCATTTATTAAAAAATAGTGATATATTAGATATCACATATATTAGATGAGCCACACTTTGAGCAGAATATTTATGAGGTTTTTAATAAACATAACTTCTTCTAATCTGAAATTACTACAACAGAACAAGTAACTGTGAGGTGTACCAATCAAAACCCATGCCCTCACTATACACATTAATTGTATTTACTGCTTACCTCTTTCTTGTCTCTGTGGCGATCAATGTCTTTCTTAAGGGCCTCCATTCGTTTAAAGGACTCTTTACTATCAATGCTGTAGACTAGTACGAAGCCATCAGCAAAAGTGTAGTAATGTCGGGGAAACTCCATCCCATCCCGGAGTCCACGGGTGTCATAGAAGCGCACCTGCTCTCGTGTGCCACGGTCAGTTTCTATGGAGCCAATATAGATATCCTCAAGGGTCTCCATTGGCTCTGAACCTACCAAGAAATAAACAAAGGTGGACACAAATGATGTGATATGCTGCACAAATATTAAGATGACAACATGCGAGTCTTAGATGTTATAAACTTTTAATACAACTGTTATATACTGTTAACTCACCAATCGTTGAGTTAATTCATTTAAACTTTATATAGCACCAAATCAATTTTGCTACGTTTTAATCACGATTTCAGTTACGATTACATACTGTCACATTAGTTATAAATAACTAATGGACGACAGAGAGAATACTCACTCAATAACATCAACACTACTGCAAGTCGACAACAAATTATACTATGCTTTGTTGCGATCACTCGGGGATAAACCACATTGACCATACATCATTTGACTCATTGAGGTAATATATGATAATGTAGAGAAGCGACATACCTGCAACATGATTGGCATACAGTAGTTGTTCTAACACAGCCGTTTTTCCTACTGCGGCTTGACCACAAACCACCACTTTACAGCTTTTACCCATGACGGTTTCTCACTCTCCAGTCCGAAAATCTGTTTAGGACAGAAGAAACAAAAAACAAAAACTACCCAATTGATCAAAGCCATTACTTAGAAACAATGCAAAACACAACAACACAGTACGCCTTATTTGGTTTCCTTTGTAGATAAACTGTGCTACTATGCACACTAGCTAACTTACAAGTTAGAAGAGCCCACTGGCAAAAAAACCCCTTTTATCTGGTATAGTTATTTTAAGTTTTTGCGTCGCAAACGATAGCTAATTTGGAGACGTTTGTACAGAAAATAGCTTAGCATTAGCTTCGGGAAGACACAAAACCACTATATCACAAAACCAGCCATTAATGTTGCCTGTATATGACAAATTCTAGTAAAACGTGTCTTCAAAAATACACACGCTGATACTTCTGGTTATTTTGCCGACATTTATTTGCTAATTGTCATAATTTCGCTTGAGAAAACCCTTACCTTCCCAAATGTGCTACTTCCTGTTTATGTTGTACGTAACGACTGCAGTATGTAGCCCCGCCTTTCTCATTGACGGCAAAATGGCGACGGAGAGCTGTGATGCTGTGAACATGGACCCTGACATGGAACTGCTCAGCGATGAAGAATTAGAAAGGTGGTGGAAATTACAGCTATGTTGTCAGCGAATGAAAAACGCGTATATCAAAGTCTTTTATTGATATGTGTGCTCAAAAGCCTCCGTCGTGTTAATTTTCTTGTCGCAACATGAGAGCTTACCAGCGCGCTACCGCTAACAGTTTAGCTAAATTTGGCCCTGGAAAGCATCTAGCTCGGTTGCCTTCCACTTTAGCTAGCCCTTGTGTTGGATTTCTGGGTTTCGTTCACAGTAACGTATGTAAGTTGGTGGTTAATCGTTAAGTGTGAAAGTTGATCGGAGTTAAGAGTTTTGCTTTCACATCCCAGAGATGACCAAAGCTGGCTAATTACTTAATGGCACCATTCAGTTAATGAGTGTTCGTGATGTGAAGTATGACAGGCCTCCAAAAAAAGTAACGGCAGTAGCCCTTCAGGATGGTGTCATATGTTCCTGGCTCAGTCTCATTGCTGCGTGTTGGCTGGGAATACGTGCACTCTGTCCTGCTAGTTTGACTTGTTCTATGTTTAGCTAACTCAGTCCAGCAAACTGTCAAATGCACATTGTGTCATTCTTTCTTTACTCGAAAACATGAATATGAAAAAAAGTAATTACCTACCTCTAGTCAAGAAACAATTCAGCAAGTCTACCTCTACTTATCTTACCACCTGTCATGTGTTTTTCTCTTCTCACTTGTTTTAGATTTGCCTGCAAGCTTTATTTGATTTCTTTCTTTTTGTCCATTTCTACACAGGGAAGCAGAGAGCTTCAAAGAACAAGGCAATGCTTTTTATGTCAAGAAGGATTATGCAGAAGCATTCAATTATTACACCAAGGCCATTGGTAATTCTTTCTAAACAATTTCAGTATATATTTCTGTGGATAGAAGCTATGCTAATTTCTCATGTGGACGAGAATTTAACATTTGGATCCAACATGTCCCTGGTAGAATATTAATAATTTTTTCTTAATTTAACATAACAGATATGTGCCCAAAGAATGCAAGTTACTATGGAAATCGGGCAGCGACACTAATGATGTTGTGCCGGTATAGAGACGCTCTAGAGGATTGCCAGCAAGCAGTACGACTAGACAACACCTTCATCAAGGTGGGTTGAAGAATTAAAGAAATTTCATATATATATATA